AAGTACAACACTGAATTATTTTCGATGCACGTAAAATCATAAAATATCTTAACGGAATTTTGCGCTGAGTGTATCCTGTCATACTAAATACAGATTCACTTGGTCAACTGGTCGCAGGTATGCAATGATAACGTTTAATACATTGTGAAAGTCGCTGAAAAAGTACTTCATGTTGATACCAAGATTGACTAAAACTTGAATCTGACCTAACTGTAGACTAGAGTTGCAACCGAGGAGATTTTTTTCTTATCAATACCGGTACTGATGTGAGTGTTGGTGTAGTTGAGAGGGAGGGTGGGAATGTGTTTATGTAGCTAAAGAAAAGGCGATATCCACATCCACATCCACACCCACACCCACACCCACACCCTTTCTTGATCCGATTTTTGGATCGAAAAATGAACATACAACCATATTTATACTGGTTGATGATACTATTGCACTCAACTAGTGTTAGTGGACTTCGATGAAAACTATCAGTAGTAAACATCAGATCCAAGTTTTTTGTGTCTTCACAATGATTTAAATATAAAAATTAAGACGAAAAATAATTTTTCTTCGTTTCAAGAAACCAAACAAATTTTATTATTTGATAATATGCCTAAACCAAAGAAGTCCTTCATTGTTTTCGCACAATGCAATGTAATGTACTTCCTGATCCAAGTCCAACTCTACACAACATTCGATCGTTTTTCTTTTCAGAACCAGCGTAAAGAAGGCGAATATCATTCACACTAGTATTTGATAGTAATGACCATTCTTGTGTTAATGAGAGTTTCAATTCAAGAAATGACCAAATCCAGCACACTTTGATGTTGTAAACCTGCCTGTCTAATATGACAATTCTTAATTCGGCGCTGCGATAACGGTAAGAATTTTGATCGTGTTCATTATCATTAATTGGATTATTGATACTGTAAACATTGATTATATTGGATAGTGAACACTCTTCTTTATTTAATAAACAATATTTTTCATCTCTTAATTCAACTCCATCTCTGCAGAATCGAACAACAATAACTTCGTTTTCATCTAGTTGAAACTAATCTTTAATGATTGCTTTTAACTCATTGAATGACGACGGTGTTACAATCGAAGCAGTCTGTTTTACCCACTGATCAATGGTGGTTCCACTATGAAGTAATGAATGAAATAATCGTCCAATTGAATCCGATTGACTCAAGGCTTGAGAGTTATTTAGATTATTCATTAAGAAAAGAGTAACACAATTTTCTGCTGACATCTTGAAAAAATAGGAAAAAATTCTATGGAAAAACAGCGGAATAGTGGAATGTGTCGAGAAATTTGATTATTTTTTAAACTATACATGTCTCTCCGAAAAAGGAGATAGAAGACCACAATGAAGATAGACATAAAAAAGTCGACCTATTTCGTCAATCATCAAATTGATTATAAAAACTAAACTATTTTTGAATAATATCACATGAACGATGATGATATTTTCGAACTAGACACACATGCCACATGACAAATATACGCATAATACATAACTCAAAGTAAGAAATAGGTGTGAAACCATGCTCTTTTTGCTTTATTTTCTTTGTTGTTGATATTAAGGGTAGAGGAAAGAAAAACTTACGCTTATCTCTGTTCTGTTTTTACATGCGAGTATGCTTATATTGTATGAGTTACATGTACACCCCCAGTGTGTGATGCTTTGCCTCCTCACTTGCAGTTATTAGCACTTGTAATAATTTATATAGCATAATTATCTTTCAAAACTTTGTTGGCAGTATTTCTACACTAAAATTTATTTCAAACGAGCACTGATAAATTTTGCAACAAGACTCGATTAGCATCCAAGTTACTGTATTGTAAGATAAAATTGTTCTATAAAAATTTAATAAACATATTATGATCTGTATCGACAGGTTCATTCTAACTATATAGGTACAATTTCTGTATTTCATGTTTATTGAATTATAATTTTGATTTTTGATTTACATCGCGAAAGTGGTTTTCTCGACAACGAGTTCAACTGGAGCTAACCACGTGTACAACTCTTTAGTGATTTTATTTTTTCTGTGGAGATCGAGGAACAAGTATCTCCTGCTATAGATACTCCACAGTTAAAATGACTTCTGACGATTCTGATGTTGGCTTTATGCAGTATCAAGAGCAGCGTCGAAGAATGACATTTCTGGTCACACAACTATTAAAACGAATGATCAATACTTTGCTTACCTCGATAAATCATAAATTAAAAGAAAAATAAGATCATCCTTGATTAGCACATCGATTGACAAGCTACATGTGAAGTAGTTATAATAATGCATGTATGCATATGTATCATTTTTAGTATTACATGTGTTTACGAAACTTTTGCATTTTGGAGATTTCTTCCCGAAAACCTTGTTAAAAATCTATGAATAAGTGGTATTCTTGATCAGCTCGACGACTTCTAACGAGTCATGGAAGACATTTTCTGCCTGACTTTTGCATTTGGAGCAGCTTTGTTCTTTCAAACTCAACTAAAAGATCTTGGTATTACTTTGGCTCCACAATTAATTACAGTCCAAGCGAAAACGAGCTAGTATTCTAAACAAAATCGCTTTCCAATTGTACATTTTGCTCGTATAAAAGGCCGAAATACTAAGAAAGAAGCAGTGCATTTCCTTCACGCAGTCCTCAATGCCAGTGAGAGATTAACAGCCCTGCACCAGGTTAGCATTTTCCAAACAATTTAAATAAAGTTCAAGTTTATTGAAGAAAGAGAAAAGGATCAAAATCATGATGAAAAAGAGATTAATCAAGTGGAATAAGTGTACGCAGGAATGAGAACTAATCTTAGCACCAGCTCCATATCCTCCGACAATGACAATATACTGCGGATGACGCGGTTGTTATACGAGTCGATCGTGTAGACAGTGCCATTAGGGTCCATGATCACTCATACTAGATGTTCAAATTGATCGAGTTCGCCGCTTTGGTCGTTGCCTCCAGGAGAACAGCAATATGCACAGCTGAACAAAGAGAGAGCGAGTGGATTGAAGGAATAGGTGATAATTCTGTGGGACAAAATTCCCTTCTTCATTTTTCTGTCAACAACAGCCACCCGCACCCTGGCATACCTCCATATCGATTTGCATGAATGGGCTGATTCTTTTGGTTAGTAGTGGAAGTTTATGTAATTTCTATTTTCATACGAGTTATGTAAACAAATACTACTATAAAACAATATTTTTGGCTTCACTACGAAAATGTCATCAATGTCAAGTCAGAAAACTATATATGGAGCGTTTCATAGATAATTTTCAGTTATCTACGAAAATAATAATAAGAAATCAAAACAAAGTTTGTAAATGATGCCGCATCTATACACATAGAGTCAGTGCTCAAAGCTAGTCAGTTAAAATGCTGATATTTGTATCCTATAAGTAAAATGTACAATGATAGCTCTTAGAGCACCAAAGCATTGACTTTCTTACAAAAAGCAATGATTCATGTTTGAAAATTCGGAATTTTGTAACCGTCGACTTTTAAACAAACTAGTTCTGAAACATTGCTCTATGTGCATCCATATAGATTCATTCATAAAGATCATTTTGACTTGTTCCTATTATTCTCTTAGATGACAACTGAAAACTATCTATGAAACTGCACGCACGTATTTTTCTTTACTTGATAAGAGATAAAATTGCTTTCATGATATAACCAAGAAATCAACCAACAAGATTAAACCGATGCGGAGATATTTCATTTTTGAGTTTCAGCGCTATTTAAGGTACATTTTGTATTAGGGATGCAAAGCTAACGCTCATGAGCGCTCATATGAGCGTAAGCAATTTTCCTGTTTGAAATTGGGAGAGACGTTACAATTTTTTATAAAGTTTGACTAAAGGTAATTAGAGTCAAGGAATCCGAATTTGTAATCTGTTTCTCAAAATTTTGAGTTTGACTTTTTAAAGCAAAAAATATTATCTCTGTAGCAAAAAAAGCAAATTTTTCGCAAAAATTTACTTTTGGTCAAACTTTATAAAAAAAAATACTGTAACGTCTCTCTCCAATTTCAAACAGGAAAATTGCTCATGCTCATATGAGCGCTCATGAACGTTAGCTGCACATCCCTCTTCTGTATTATTTTATTATCATGATCAATCAGATGTCTTTAGTAATGCTAACTATTTGGAAAACAAAATTTCAAATAAACCGAAGCATTGAGTTTGAATTGGTCTAGGTAGCTATGAACTTATTTTCATGTGAGGCATACTAAAAATTCTTCGAATGATTCAAGAATAACTAATATTATATTCCGTTAGAAGTTCAATGATATACAGTGGTTCGCAAAATTATTCGACTAGTTTTATTATTAATTTTTTCTGTTATTTCGTATCGACACATATTCGGTTTGTGTCTTTCGTAAATGTGATGTGTCTTGATCAAGAAATGTCATAGAGAGTTGAAGGACGTTATATTCTGTAGCAAATATCTTGCTCTATCATTCTTGGTAAGTCAAACAGAGTGGTCGTGGCAAGTTATGGAGCTAAAAAACTGGGGTTTTTCTTTACCAGGAACCATTGTGATTCTTCTTAGCATTTACTAGAACCGAAAAAAAATGATAATAAACCTGGTCGAATAATTTTCGAAGCCAATGACTATGCTCTGTTGTTATAATTACCTACTAGCATTTGCAAAAAAAAAGCATATAACGAATCAAATAAATAACATGATGCTTTCAAGATATAATGTCTCTTAAATGATCTATTAGATTTCTATATAGAAAGTACCTGTACTCCACCAAATCTATGTTTGTCATTTGAGTAGATTTTATTATCGCATAATGAGTTATTTATGGATCGATTTTAGATGTTTGTTCATGATATCGAGCCCATGTAATTTACGCCTTCTTTTAATGTATTTTATATATTCTATTCATGGGGTCGCTATGAAAAAAATATACGTACATATATATATATATATAGTAAAACATTAGAATAGAATGTATTCGTTTCAAACTCCAAGTGAATCAAACATTAACGATGATTTCGATTTTACATATTATTACAACATTACTATTAGCTATTATCGGTTTTGGTCAACCACTAGGTAAAAGATATTCAAGTGTATTCTGCTTTTGATTATGAATTTTTATTTTTCAGGTCTACTGACGACATTATTTAAATGTGGTCCAAATGAAAAATACACGTCTGGTTCAATATGTATCGAAACATGTACATTCAAACCACAAATTTGTCCTGCAATCGTCAAATTCGGATGTTTTTGTATGGATGGATATATACGTCAATCAAATGCTACTGGAAGTCCTTGTATCAAACATGAAGAATGCAAAAGTTTCATTGATATACCAATATGTGGTATCAATGAAGAATATACAACATGTGGTTCAGCTTGTGCTCCTACCTGTGACGATTTACGTTATCCGTTACCAAAACCACTTAAACCTTGCATTTTATTATGTCGTTCAGGGTGTTTTTGCAAGCAAGGATATTATCGAGCAGACGATGGTAAATGTGTTGCACCTGACCAATGCTGCGGTGAAAACGAAAAATATCAAACTTGTGGTTCAGTTTGTGTTGAAACTTGTAACAAAAAACCTCAAATTTGTACACTACAATGTGTTGCTGGATGTTTCTGTGCCTGTTCAGATTATGTCCGACAGGATAACAGTACTGTTAGTTCTTGTATTCATCGTGATAAATGTCCGACAGCATGCGCAGAAGATAATTGACAATATGTTTTATTTTTAATGCTTTCGCTTTTGAAAACGAAACCTTTGTTATCAAACTTGAGACTTTTTAAAGACACAACTTAAATAAAATGAGTAGTAGATCATATGATTCTTATTTCAATGTACTTTCAATAAAATGTTTTCTAATCTTGTTACTAACTAGTAGATTTTGAGAGTTAACAACGTAATTTTCAAATGTAAACTTATACTGTAATTAAAATAATCTTCTAGCATTTAAACACGAAGAAAAACATTTATTTTTTGATACATAACACAATATAGTAAATATGTTACATGCAACAAAAATATTCATTATCATCTATCTATAGAGAAAGAAATTCTTTTTAACTGATTAAACATCACTATGTTGTTTATGTAGTTGATATTGTGTATAATTTTCAATAATTTCATCTTCTTCCTTTTCATAATAATAATTACATTCATGATCAATACGACCAAATTCTAATTGCCGCTGGGCATTAATTGTAACACCGACAAGATTCCTAGAATAAAATTTTTTTCAATTGATAAATGATTTCTATGAACAATTAATAGAATAACATACTCGATCATTTTAATACGAAGAATTTCGCGAAAATCAATTTGTAATTGTTCTGATTCGGCTTTAGCTGTGATAAGAAATTCCGTAAAAGCAATAACACATGATAGAATAATACCAAATAGAAATATATAAAAAAGACCAGTTACACTCGATAAGCTTAATTGACTGAAACGTTTATCTTTTGTCGATTGTGAACATTCCGAACGTTCAAACCTTTAAATTTTAAAATAAAAACAAAAAAGAATGATCTAATGATGATTAATTATATAAAAATCCAAACATACCACCAACGTTGTTTTAGATTATCCAAAAAACCTGATTCTCGAAGATTTGTTACAATCATATTAATCGCTTCGCTTAAATCCGAACCTAATCTTGTCGCAATTCCATAACCTTTGGAATCCAACTCTGAACCAACTTTCATTGTATCACATGGCCATCGTTCATTAACATATTCATTTTTTGTTGATCTAAATTTTTTAACAATCTATAGTAATAGTTTTTCGAAAACCTAACAAAAATTTACTCAATAAAAAATGCATATTTTCCTTTTGATTTTCGAACTTTTGCAACACCTTCATCATTGGTCCCAACCAATACTTCAGATGAACTTCTTTGCATAACTGCCCACATATGTTGAAAAATAGACACATTTGCTTTTTCGAAAAAAGCCGCTGTTGTTCCATTTCTTACTGATCCATATTTAATATCTTCTTGTTTAGCTAAATAAATTTATAATAATAAAACTTTATATATGTTCATTATGATTATATCTAATTAATAAACATCATAGACTCTTATGAATTAATTACGATTTTTCTTCCTATACATTAATGCAATACATAAGTATTGTATATATCTATGATCTGTAATTCATTGTAATATTACGAATGGAACAGTTACATATTTTATTATGCTTACCGAGTTCTTCTACACTTGCGATAGGTGGTACCAATTTTTCCACAGTTAAAAAGGCGACAAGATTAGCTGTATAAGAAGAAATAAAAATTAATGAGAAATACCACCATGATGTTGCAGCAACACGTCCTGACAATGATTTCGGTACAAGATTAATTGATTGTCTCATAAATGAAGCAAATGAAAAGAATAATGCATTTGAAATGCCAAATAAATGCACGTCATTTTTTTTAAAATCTTCATCTTTTTGTTCTTTTATTTTTATTTTATCATTTAATCCAATAGGAATTTGATGATGTATGCGATAATGATGTCGACGTCGAGTTGGTAATTTCGGTGGTGTTAATGCCACTGCTATTTCAGATGAATGTATTGATTCGTTTGAATCTTGTTTTTGACGTTGTAATTGTATTTCACTTTTACGTCTATCATTAAGACTTTTTGGATATGAATATGAACGATATGATGGTCGTCGAACAACACGTCGACGCCAACCAGAATTAACAACGCGTGATGTAAGAAATAAGACAACACTAACAGCAAAATAAGATAACGAAAAACATAACCAAATTTCCATTGAAACAGGATTCATGAATGAAAATACACCTGGTTTTTTTGCATCAGGTTTTCGAATCTATAGAAAAATAAGTGAATTAATTTGCAATGAATCACTGAAGAACTGACTACATTGACATCCGTATTTCCTGAAACATTGAGTCACCAGCACTATCAAAATATAACCTTTTTTTTGTAGTGGTGTGTTCCTTTGTTTCAGTGAACGCCGACGTATTTAGAATATTCACAAATGTATTTTCAGTCATTCAAATATTTAGGAAAGATTTGAAATGTGTTAGAGCATTCTAAGTCTTGTCGTTAATTCTGCTCAGCATGACTGTTGACCTCGGTTGCTATAAAGGTGAGTCGAATCGCAAAACTTCGATGTAAAATCTACATTCAACATTTTCCTTCGAAAAAATTCATCAATAATAGTATCAATCATACCATAATAGAAATGCCAAGATTCATAAAAGGTTTGCTAAAATCAACAACTTCCATTCGTTTTTGACTAATGCTTAATGGAGCAATAGCCATATCAGCTACTCTGGATACTACTTCACCAATCATTCCTTAACAAATAAAACCAAAAAAAATTAAAACTAATGATCTATACAAAAATTTTCTATATTTCTCACCATCCCAAGTGCCTGTTGTAGAATTTTTACTTCCAAAACTTCCATCTTGAACAATACGAAATTTACATGTGATATTTAAAATTGAACAAACTTTTTCAGCTAAATTCAAACAAAATCCTTCTAATTCATGAAAATCAAATACATGACCACGTAATTTTTTTAAATCCATGTCTGGTTCATTATAATTTGTAGGATATGTTGTTCGATTACGTAACATAAGAAATGGTTCATCGAATACACCTGTTATATAATAAATTTTCGATGATGATGATCCTATTTGTATGCGTGATGAATCTTTACGTTTATTTGTATGACATGATTGATAGTCATCATGAATACTGGAATATTTACCAATAAGTTCAATTTGTCCTTTAAATAAATTTGAACTTGATTTTTTTATTGAATATATATTAACATCCGTTATATTTGCATTAATTCGTTTCGTTTCTGTTTCTCTTATACGTAATGTTTTACAATCAACTATATTTGAATTAAGAATGCTAATAATTAAATTTAATGAATTGAATAATGAACGAGAATATAATTGATAAGTTTTAGGTAATTGTGATAGAAAATATAAATATGAAAAATATTCATTATTTCTATAGATTTTATTATTACATGAATTAAGTTTTATATTTGTATCATTCGATACATTGGATAATAATGATGAGTTAGTTGTAATTAACTGAGTGGAGTTTGATAATTTATAATGATCATGATCACTACGAAATGATATTGTTGATTGATAGTATGATGTATGATGTTTAGATTTTGATGAAAATGAAGATTTTTCATTTAAGTTAGAAGATTGTTGATAATCAGATGTACAATCACGTTCTTGATAATCAAAATAAATTAAACGACCAGTAAAATTCATAGTTTTCATCCATAAACAAGTGTCAAAAGTCGAGAGAATCACATAATAATATAAATCACTTGTAAGACCTTAAAAACAAACGCAGTTAGTGCAATCTCTGTGAAATTAAAATGTGAAGCACGATATAGTTGCTATTACTAACCATATGGAGATAGTCTGAGTATTTCTATTTTTGGACATATCTCTTCATGATTCTCTTATTTAATCCTTCAAAAATGCAATAAGGAAGTAATTCATTTATTATAACGAAACGTTACTGATATACGGTCTATGATCGTAAAGTTCTTGAGCGATTAGAATATTCGGAGTCTTCGATTCTGTATTATCGTTCATAAATTACAAGAGATTCTTCTATTAAGTCCTTCAAAAAAAGTTATATTTTTTGGTGGTCACATTGACATGTCTTATTTTCGATTCATTTTTACCCAATACACTGTTAGTAAACAAATTTACTTTAGTTATTTTGACATGCATAGAAGAAGGAAGTACTACTACCATAGTTATTAAGCCCAAACTAATTTGAATGACTATGATGATCTGCTAAGAAATAGTTTATAGAAAAACAGCAGTTGAATACACACTCAATGCTCTTTTTTGTATTTGTTTCGAAAAATGCCTATAGATCTTTGTGCGAAAATAAATGCATTCTAAACACGCGAAAAGATCTTTTAATTAATACATAACGAGATTTTATCGAATATGTACACAACATCAATTAGATCCTATGACTATGGGAAGGTTTCTTTTTCGTATAGAGAATCTAGAAAATTTTTTATCAGTATACCAAAAAAAGAGCATTAGAGTGACTCTACGATATGTTTTTCAATAGGGTGTCCTTTCCTATTAGCTGTTCATAGCTGACACGTTATTATAACAACGAAAGCAAAATATTGTCCCTACTGAACTTAGATGTTATTATCGATATAAATACTAAAAAAATCAATACATTAGAGAAATTATTTAAAAAAAAAATTGATTTTCCGAGACGATCTTCTGATGTTCTACAAATGAACTACTCTGATTCTTTAATATGCATTTTAGTTCGTGTTTCACAAAAGCATTGTAAAAGCTTCTGATGAATCCATCAGTATTCATTAATCTGAGTAAAAGTCTTCTGCTTATGAATAGTTAAAATTACTGTCTTAAATAATTTGTCAAGAGTTTATCCTTAGTGTAATTAGAGAACGTGAAAAAAGAAGTTCATTTGTTTGAACTATAGGTTTCTTAGGTTTAATGATAATGATGTAGTTATTTACTATCGATAGATATCTTCCAAGAGCTAAGTAAATTTAATAAATCTTAATAGTGATATATGTCGATAATCTTTTAGATATGTCATAGACTCGGAAATACATATGACAACAAAAAGTTCACTTCCGTCAGAATTATGAATGTTAAGATAAATGCATAGGAGAATAGCTTTTGATCACATCTAATCACAAACAAT